GAGGAATCCTCAGTGAGTCATAGCTATTAAATTATACATGCTGGAGCAAAACTGAAGCCTGCAGCTTCATGCCTGCAGCAAAGCAGTGCATTATTAAAAAAACAACAAAAGCTAATATGCACATTTCAAAAAGAAGAAGAAGCCCTACTGTTATTCAGAACCTGTCATTTTTTATAAATGTAACTTTGAAGCTCAAAAGATCGAGGATTTATAGTATTTGACCTGTCATCTAAGCATGTCATACAAAGCCTTTATCTCAAATGTAAACTAACACCATTCACAAAAAAAGTTATATAATACAGATTAGAATTTTTAAAACAAAGCATAAAACAGAAGAACCCCTGGACATTGTTCACGCGTGTTTCCTTCTTCCCAATCAACTTTTGAATCCTGCTGACTTTGTGAGAAGCATTATGCTTAAACACATTATATGGACATAATATAATGACAAATTAAAAGAACAACAAAGATCATGCAGCAGTTCGCAAAAGCTGTAAACCAATCATTTTGTATGTATAAGGCGCTGTTTCTGACATACGTTGGGCGGTTGGATTGTGGGGTAAAGGGGGACCTTTCCTCAAGCACAATATACAACAGCAGTCCAAGGCAAGCAAGCTGATCCCATGCGTTTTCAATGTGGACATCATCAGCGCTGCTTCCAAAGCGGTTTCTGAGATACGACAGTGGCTGTTGGTTTGGTCCCACAGAAAACTCTCTGATCTCTCTCAGGAGGTTAGTGGTGATGCTGTAGGTATGAGCTGGATCATATTCCCCCTGATAATGAAAATGCTGTGTGATATACACGTGGTCTACCCACCAGAAAGTTTGCCTTCCTGTGTTTTCCTCCCTGACACGAACTATGATCCTGTCCCTGTTCTCTCCTGCAAAATCTCTTCGTGGACGCGCTACATAACGTGGAAGTGGATTTAATGTTTCCTGAGCGAGATTACCAATAGTGTAGTACCTGTAATGACTTCTCCAAGGCAGTGGGTCCAGCAGCCTCTCACCGTTGCCATAATGATGTGAGCCATAAGCTCTACTGTTTGGGTCAAAGGTCAGATTTATTACATTGTTCTCATCAATGGTAACTGTGTTGGCAAACCAGTGGAGCAGCAGAAGACTGTGCTTGGGCACAGATTGGCCGAAGTTGATTTTCTTCAAATCATTGATTGAATTCAGCTCTCTCTGTACAGCTGACACAGAGGTCAGGGCGAGGAGCAGAGCTACACAGCAACAAGTGACTCTTCCTGATATCTTCATCATCCTGTATGGACAAGAAATGGAATTGATATGACCAAAAGCTTGAAGTAGAAATAAGAGAAAGTTCTATAAGTTACAACAAGTGTGATATCCTGTTGACAGATTGTCTTTGTAAGTTTGACACTTGCACTGCCTTAGTCATACTGTATGTATACCTAATTGTAAGAATTCATCCTCAAAAAGTGAAGAGTAGTGGCTACAGGGTGGACATATTGCTAATTTATAATTTGTAAAGGAACGTTTTTAATTACCTCTTTATAAATATTAGAAGCCACACAGTAAATCTGAAAAATATGTTTCAAAATTGAATTGGGCCATTTTTCCTCCAATGTATTTCTACTTTCTGAAAGCATGCATATGTAACTAGAAACGCATCAACTTATTATTATCATGATTTGATCAGTCAGGTGAACAAGATGTTTTTCTTGTTTAAAGGTCCCATGTCATGGCCATTTCTACTGATCATAATTCCATTGTTGAGTTATACTAGAATAGATTTATATTGTGCAATTTTCCAAAATCACATTGGTTTCTCATTCAGCATCTCTGTATAGTATGTGTATTCACTCTGTCCTAAACGGCTTGTTGGAGCTCCTCCTTTAATACAGCTCCTGTAAAGTATCTCATAAAGTTAAAGTTCATTTGTGTCAGCGTGTCCTTGTTGAGCTGCGGTGGAGAGATAGTAACACAAAGAGACGAGAACACTCAAAAACAAACGTGGATTCAAAAGCTTCACCAAAGTAAAAAAGAATACTACTGATTAGAAAATAAGAGAGCTCACCTGCGTTAGTCTGCTTCTGTCAAGTATCAGATCTCAGTGTGTGCGAGTGTAGATGAAAGTCTTTCTAGGTGAAGTTTTTTTCTGTCTACAAAACCTGCAAAACAAATGTGGCTGCAACTTGCTGTTGGTTCCAGGAAGTTTGATCACACAGCCGTTTGCATGAAGCGTCCTTCTGTTTTCAAGATAAGAGGAAGAGTCCTTCCTTTCATGCTGTAATTGGGGTTTAACAGATATGTGCCGTACATTAGGATTATTTATTTCGACAGTTTTTAGAGGATAGATTCTGTAAGATTCAGATTCTCGATCATGTTGGAATTTAATGAGCGGGTTTATGGTGCATCTATCCTGTGACAGTGAGTGTGTCCTTTTAGATTTGTAATAGTGCCAGACTTTGAGCTTTTTATTTTCACATGTTTTTATTATTATTGTTTATATATGGATTCACATTATACAGGTGTGTCCCTAGACCTCCTCTGCCCCTGAACATACAGTCGATACAGACAAGAACAAAACAGATAACTTCAGATTGAACAGATACAGACTGTTGTTTCTATTAAAGGTCACTGTTCAAAGTTTGCTCTCAACTTCTCACTTTCTTCTTAAATACACGAGTGTCAATATCTGTGTTGCAACTCTTGATCACTAAATGTGAGGAATCAATAGCTGAAAGTGTCGTCAAATACGGTAAATTGTCATTTTAATCGGAAATCTTGCTCAAAAATGTCTTGAATATGGCCTTTTGGTTGACAAAGTAGAATGTTTCAAAATTTATGATGAGGGAACAGCATGAAACTAAATAATGTCAGCTGGTTTCAAAACAATATTTTCCCATCATTAAGGGTGATCTTTTCATCCTTTTCTAAAAAATATATTGATTAACTTTTAAGCTTTTTAAAGCTTTTTTAGTCAAGATTTTTTAAATAATTACAACATTGCAAAATAAAGGCATTGAGAACTTATCATTTTTTCCTAAAAACTAAAACGGCCTTATGTCAGTAGCAATGAGCTGTGTGTGTGCATCCCATGTCATTGTATAGTAGTTATTGTGGAGATTTTCATTTAAAAAATAATAATTCTGTTAAGTCACGTTTTTTTGCCGAATGAGGAAACATAATAGTGATTGAGCCTGTCGCCCATTGACAAAAGCCCTTTCATTTGAAACGTAAGGAATTGGGTGCGTTTGTTGACATGCCTGGGAAAAGTCTTTATTTGACTCTCTGGGATGTAAAGACAGAATAGGCTCTGTGCACAAGATGGCGTCTATCAACTTCCGGCGGCTGGGTGTGCGGCTGAGTACTTCCGGTTTGAGTACAGAGTTTTGACAGCTTGACAGTTTGTTATTTGTTATTTATATATACAGTCTATGGTTATGACACACTGAGAGCAAGAATGAGCGGATTTCGGGGTAAAGAAAAGCGATTGGCCTTCCAGCGGGTAAGAAAGTCGGTACTACATTGCTGTGTGCCCCTTTGTACAAATTCGTCCCGTTATCAGAATCAGAATCCCTTTATTAGTCCCACAGAGGGGACATTTGCAGCGTTACAGCAGGAAAGAGCCACAGACAGCTTAGTGTTGCATATCTTACATGCGTTAAAAAAGTACTAAGTTATAATATAATAAACAATATGCTAAAAAAAAAGATAAAAAGTTACATACTTTTCAAAAATACAGATAAAAAACAAATCAAATCTACCAATCAAATCCTGTAGAAGTTCTTAGGATTTAGCAGCCCTGTATATATTACAGTTATTAAAGATGGCATATGTATATAAAGTATATATTGCACATAAAGCACATATTGCACATAGTTTGACGGTATTAACAGCAGCAAGTTACACAATGTTATAATCGGGAGATAAGTTTCCATTCATTTCGGCAAGCCTGGGCAACAACGATTAAAAGATTTCTTGCTCCCAAACCAATTTTGTATTTCATTACAAAAAGCAGTAATATCATACTATGTTTAGGTACTAATGAATTATATCCTCAAAACAAAA